TGTTCATGTTGCTGCAGTCTGCAGTCTGACCGCTAGATGTCGCTGAAAATTACACACTGTAGCTTTAAGGAAGGTAAAGCACCAATGAGAGGAGAAGATCTACGTTTAAGGAGAAAAACGGCTCCATTATTAGACTTTTAGGGTAAAAGAGTTGCTGCATTTATCTGCTCAGCTTAGAGGCTAAATGCTCCAATTTTAAGAGATTTGTGTTTTTTTTAGATCAGTTTGTGCAGAAAGGCCAGAGAAGCACTCATCCATTCCCATTGTGTGTCTACAGTCATAATAAGTTGGCGTCGCTGCCGGCGGAGCTGTTCGCCCTGCAGAAGCTGCGTTCTCTCACTCTGCAGCAGAACCTTCTGGAAAAGTTGCCTGAGGAAATGGGCCAGCTGGGGAGCCTGACGGAGCTGGTAACTTCTGTTTTTATTGCTCTGACCAGCTGGCTGTGAGCTGAGGGGCTGGTTTCCCTTTAATAATCAGGCTGTGATGTGATTGGCGGCTCTCTCTGCTGTGTGCTAACGCCGATGCTACTTTCATCTGAAGGATCTGTCCCACAACCTTCTGGAGCAGCTGCCCTCCAGCATCGGACGCCTCACAGCTCTGCAGAAAATCACACTTTGTCACAACAGGCTGAGGGTTCTGCCTGACAGCCTGGGCCAGCTAACAGGTAGGAAGCTCAGGTCCAGGTGGGATTTTAACCTGCAACCTCACCCTCCCTGTGGAACCAAGAGTATTGTGTCTGTAATGCATCATGGATGCTCAATAAAAACAGAATAAAAACAGAACCGTACATAAAAACACTGATGGAAAGTTGGGTGGAAGGAAAAAGTGCTGCAGGAAACGTTCTGCTAGAAACTGGGAGAGATGATTGAACATCAGGGCCAGCAATGTCCCACTGAAGGTTAATCTGATCTCTGAAGGTTAATCTGATCTATCAAAGTTAATCTGATCTCTGAAGGTTAATCTGATCTCTGAAGGTTAATCTGATCTCTGAAGGTTAATCTGATCTNCAAGAATCGATGCAGTAGATCACAAAAATTAGAATCGCGATGCATCGCCATGACGATTAATTTGCACACCCTTATTTCTAACCCTCACACAGTGTCCAGAATTTCCCAGTGAGGAATGTTGGATGCCTTGGAGCTACGCAGACCGACCCCTGGAGATAAAAGTCTACAAACATCCTGTGATTTAGCTCAGAAACATCTCCACCATCTACAGGACTGCCGGCGGCTGCGGATTGGCAGGAAGAGGCTTCAGTCGTAAACAGCCGTGTTTTCCACGGAGCGGCGTGCTGGTGTTAGCTTACCGTCCCTCTGAGGATAAACCCTGCAGACGCGGCTCTTTCCTTCATCGGTTGTAACCCAACCTTCAGACAGACGTCTCCTCACACCGCAGCCTCATTCTACAGAGCAGCCACCGCCGTGCCTCTTAGTCAGGCTCAGTTTAAGGTTAAATAATCAGCATTCTTTCTGAATGGAGGCATCCAGGTCTTTAGCAGCCATCCTGAAATCATCTCCTTCTCACTGTTTGCTGTGTTTGGAGTGTGAGACCTACAGCCAGAAGTTCTCTCCTTATTCCTCGCAGAGGGTTCCCCTCCAGCAGCAGCACCTTCAGGTTGGGCAGCAGACTCAGAGACGCCGGCAGACTGTGGAAGATAAACCCGCCTCCAGGATCACATCTTCAACCAGACCTCAGGAGGAGGAGTCAGACGCTGCAGACCTACCTGCTGATGTCGTTGTTGGTGAGGTCCAGCCTGGTCAGAGGGAGCAGCGGAGGGATTTCCTCTGGAAGCTTCCTGATCTTGTTGTCTCTCAGCTCCAGCTGGGATACGGCCGTCAGACAGGCCAGCTGCTCCGCCTCCAGCTGCTCAATCTGGTTATTCCCAGCAAACAGCTCCTACAGACGCACTGGGGATTAATGCCTGCACAGTCTGGGTGGACGCTAACGGGTCGCCATGGTTACCTTCAGTGCTGGGGCGGGGACCCGGGGCAGCCGCCGCAGCTTGTTGTGTCGGAGATAAAGCTGCTCCAGGGAACGCATCCCGGAAAGGCTGGCGGGAACGTCGGTCAGCCGATTGTTGCTGCAATCCAGCAGTCTGACGTCTGCGTCAGAATATGGAGGGATTAAGACACGGCATCAAACTACCGGTTCATCCCCAGGAAAATAACATCTAGAATGGTTTTATCTAAAATACGCCGTCAGGAAACCAACTGGACTCACATGTTTGGAAAACAGACGGGATTAGATCAGATTAACTTTGATAGATCAGATTAACCTTCAGAGATCAGATTAACTTTGATAGATCAGATTAACCTTCAGAGATCAGATTAACTTTGATAGATCAGATTAACCT